CCTCCTGCATTTCCTCCTTGAAGATGTTACATTGAAACAGATAAAAGTAGTCAGTCACCGCTAGGCCTTGGGACTTAGTGAAGCAGCTCCTGCAGGTACAACTTTCCCTTTAGTCCTTCACCTACCCAGATCCAAGACCAGGCCTAACTCACAAGCACAACACTAAAAGCTCAAAGTAGACAAGAAATCAGCAGAACCTGGCACCTGGCATTTCAAGGACTGGAACCACTCATTCTTCAAGGCAAATCAGGACAGAAGAACTATGCTCATTTTCAAACAAGAGGGGGAAAAAAAATTCATACATATATAGTATAGTTTGTTCTTTTTTTTGTAAAAAAATGAAATCTATTTCTTAAAGAGAAAAGCACTTACCTGCTTGTGCATTTCAATGTTCAAGCCATAGGACATCTCATAATACTACAAGTAAAAAGAATTGCCATTAGCAGACAACTCAGGGCCTGCTCATTTTTTTAAATCTTTGAGAAGGCTTTGACCAAATCATACACTAATTCCAAACAAGCTTAAGTCAAACCCCCAAAGTCAGCCTATGGAGAGAGGTTTAAGAGCTGATACCCGGGAGTGGGCAGTGGGTGAGTGCTGGTGTCAGCTCAAGAGAACTGTACACACAGTAGTAAGAAAGCTGGACCTTCCCTCCTACAAGCCCTGCATGTACCACATATCCTGTTTATACAAGGTGCAGGCTTTACAGGGAATGCTGTGCACACCAGGCCCCTCTTGTCCTCTGAGAGTTATTTAGCACTGGGTGGAAGGTCTCTTATGTGGAAAAAGGCACTGGGGGCCTGCCTTAAGTGGCTCTCATGTCCTCTCCCAAAAGGAAGATGTCAACAGAAACAGACACTGGGTAAAAAGGGAATGGTCTAGCTCAGGTCCCGGGTAGGCCCAGCCTCTCAACTGAGGGGATCCCTGAGGAGGCGGCATGGGTAAGGGGAGAGCAGAGGGCTTTAAAAGGCTCTTCCACTCCTTGGAAAAAATCCCAGGGAAGGCTGGGCACTTCTGTCCCACTGGCTAGATCCCAGGGCTGCAAAACAGAAAAGTTTGCGAACACTCCCAGGAGGTCCTCAACCCTGACACAGGCTGATCCAATTCTATGTTACTAGCCAGTGTAGAGGAAGCAGCCCGCAGGGAAACCTTCAAAACACAAATGAAAAGCTCTTTACAAAGGTAGTGCAAAGATCGCGGGCCTGGAATGCGGGTATGTTTCTTTCTTCCCTATCTCTCACCACCCTCCTCTTAAGTGCCGGGGTGAAGGAAGCCGAGGAAGAGAGCCCTCCCGGGGGCTGTCCAGCGGCTCCAGCCCTGGCCTCCTAAGGTCCCAGCTGCGCCCCACCGAGTCGGTGCCCTGCTCTGCCCTCCCCTCCGCCCTGCTGCGGGCAGCCTCTCACCATCACATAATGGCGCTGCATCTCCGTCTTCTCGTTCGCCAGCTTGTCGTACTCCACTTTGAGGCTGCGAGGGCAGGAGGAGACGCTCAGGCCTGGCGCCAGCATGGTCCCCCTCTGGGACCCAACCCCAGGGCGTCCGAGAACCACTTCTCTCTACTGCCCTGACACCCTGGGTTACCCCCATTATCCAGCATCCCCGGGGCAGAGGGGGGTGGCTCACCACCACCCAGAGCCCGATTCAAACAACTCCAAACTTCCCTGGATCAGGCGAGCGGACTCCTCGCGGCCGCGCGGGGGCGGCTCTTCACCCAGACCCCAGAAGCGATGGACCCGCGACCCCGACCCCCAACCCGGACGGCGCCGGGAGCCCGTACAGCGGGCCGCAAAGGGTTAAGGCGGCGCGCTTGGAAAGGGGAAACAAAAGGCGGAGGCCTGGCCACCCCTCTGTCCCTGCGGGAGGTGGCAGGAGCCTTCGGGGCGCCCCCCACGCCAGCCCGGGGGTACCCCTCAACCGCCTTACCTGTGATACTGAGCTTGCAGGAACTGGAATTCGTCTTTGATCCTGTCGCAAGACTCGGCCACCGTGAATTTAAATCCCGGCTGCCCGGGTTGATGGGGAGCCTGGAGCCCGAAAAGGCGACACAGGGGAAGAGGGGTGGGGACATCAGATGGGCTCCCCACGGCCCGGGCCCTCCGTGGGGTCCCCAGCCCCTCCCCGGCATGAACCACCAGCAAGGCCACACCACCCCACTGCCTAGAACCTTCTGGGCAAGTTTCTGCGCTCCCCGACGAGGCGGGGGAGGGGGGCGTCGCGACCCTCCCCAGAGGGAGTAGGGTTCCCATGGCCAAGAGCCGCGGGGGCGGGGAGACCCGCCGGGCGACTCCGGGCGAGTAGGGAGACTTGCGAGAGGGGGCGGGGGAGCGAGTCAGCGTCCCCCTCCAACGCAGGCCGCCCCCGGCCACCCGGGCGCAATTACCCTCCGCTCTCTACGGCGCCCCCCACCCGAGCCCTTTGTGTGAGCGCGCACACACGCACACACATGCACACACACACACACGCCATAAAGGTAGCAACAAGCAAAATGGAGGTGCCAGAAAAACTGCCTCGTTTACCCTACCATGATAGATGCTTAAATAAACCGACTTGCAATTACTCACCGGATGTCTGCCTTGCGGATACATGGCAGGGAGGGGTCGCGATTCCGACACCGTGGAAGCGCCGAGAACCCGGGCCGGGGAGGTGCGGGGAAGGGGGGAGCCGAGCCCGAGCGGGGGGCGGCCGGGGAACCGAGAGCTCGCCCCCGGCCCCCCCAGCTCGCTTTCACAGCGAAATCCCAGAGTCGGGCGTCCGCCCCAAGTGGAGACAAAGAAGGGCCGAACGGGCGACAAAGTCGTCTGCGGGCGCCGGTGCGGGCGGCGGGCTTGGGCTTTGTGCGCCTAGGGCTCCGCGGGCTGCAGCCGGCCGCGTTTCCCCCGCTGCGTGGACAGCGTCAGAAGCCGGGGCTGCGCGGACATCGTCGGTTCCCCGGCGGGTCCAGCGCGGGGTCCCGAAGTCGGGGGCCCCCTCCTGGGGCGAGCGCGGGTCCCCCGTGGGTCACTCAAGGCGTGGAGACTGGAGAGGGACGCGCGTCAGGGCGGCCCCGAGCATCCGAGGCGTGCGGGTCGGATCCCAGAGAGAAAAGAAGGGCAGGCCACCGAGGTGAAGGCTTGCGGACCGCAGGGGCTCAGAGGGGGACTGCTGGAGCCGGGCGCTGACGCCCCCCACCCTCGCCCGGGCGTGGGGAGCCTGCTATTCCGTCTGCCTCTGCTGCCGCCACGAGCCCTTCCCAGGGCCAAGGAGGAACTCCGGGCTCAGTAGGTGCAAATCAACCGGCCTGGCATCCAAACTCCAGCGGGCACAGGGAGCCTCGGCGCAGAGTCCTTGCTGCTCCCCAGATCCAGCGGCCGCGTCCCCTGCCGGGAGCGTTCAGCGCCACGGCCGCCTCGGAGCGCGCAGGCTGGAGAGCGCCGGGAGGGTGGGGGGGGGGGGGGGGGGGGGGGGGGAGACTCAGCTCGACACCCGGAGCTCTGCGGCTTCCTTCCTTCCTCTCGGCCTGGCTCTCCTCTCCGCGCCCCGACAAACCCCCAAAACACACACACACACACACACACACACACACACACACACACCCCGGAAAAAAAAGTGATCGGACCTGCGGATACCACACACAGACAGAGGAAGGGGGACGAGCACGAGGTATGAACTGCCGCGAGAGCAGTTCCAAATACGGACTGAAAAGTAACAAAATAATGTGGCAGCTTTGCCCAGCGCTGGCCAATGGAAGCGCGAGGTTCCCACGTGGGGTTGCCGGACTCGGCCTGCGACTGGGCGCCGCTAGGCGCGACGTCACAATGCCCTCTTGTGTCTAAAACTATGCATGAAAAGTAGCAATCCGGCCCTACCCGCTGGTGACTTTCGCTTGGGAGTGAAAAACAGCGCTCCTCACATCAGGAATTAACCGAAAGACATATAATAAATAGATATATATTATAGTCCTGGGCTGCTAGGGTGGGTTTTTTTTTTCTTTTTTTTTTCCCCCACGATCTACTAGCAATTATTTGGCGGGAGGGGGAAGAGAGAGAAAACAGGAATAACAACAAAAGGGGAGGGAAAAAAAAGGACAAGTTGTACAATTCTCAAAACCTGTGGCTGGTAGTAATGGATCCGTTGATTCTGCAGAGGCGGAGAACGATTGCTTCCCCCCCCCAATCTCATTAGGGCTGCAAAGGAGCCCAATTAGATACTATAAAACAAACAGAATCACTTTGTCAGTTTAATGTTTTCACTTCAGAAGATTTAGGACCGATAAAATGGTGGCTCCCAAAGTTACCTCCGACCTTTAAAATTGTACTCGGAGCCGAGTTTTCCTTTCTTTTGCCCCCTTCTGCCCCCCTCCCCTCCTGGAACAAAAAAAATTTTTCCTGGGGGCCGTTTTTTCCTTTCTTTGCCCCCCTCCCCCCCCCCCCCCCCCCCGAACCCCCCCCCCCCCCAGCTTTCCTTCCTTTGTTCCTTCGCCCTTCTTTTCAGAAAGCCAAACAAACAGCGCCTCTGATGCGCGGCGGCGGCTGTCGGCGAGGGGAAGCCTGAGAACTCCGGCTGGGCGGGCAACGCAGATGGAAGGGCCCGGCTGTCTGCCGACCGTAGGCCCGGGACGCGGCTGACCCCACTCGCGGCCCCTTCCCTTTGCGGACAGCGACGTCCTGGCCGCAGCCTGGCCCGGCGGGCTCCCAAGCTGCGCTACCGGCCCGAAGGAGTGGAGAAGGGACCCGGGTCGGGGTCGGGGTCTGGCCCTCCCAGCCTCCGGTTCCCTAAGTCTGCCGGCCGGACAGTCCCCACGGACCACCGACAGCCACCCGTGGATGAGTGACTGCGAACCTGGAGAGTCCATGATCAGTCGCCGGCCTCGACGTTCCCGAGGGGCACAGACACTCCCCACGCCGTGGCACGGACCACTGGACTCCCGGACCAATTTGTCCGCAAACCGGGGTTCGGCGGGGCCACCCTGCCCACGCGGCCCTTGGACAGGCACGGCCGGAGTGGGTGGCACAGGAGGCCCCCGGGTTCTCATGGGGCGGGAACGCACGCACGCACGCACGCACACACTCCGGTCCGCGCGAGGCCGGCCGCGAGCCCCCGGAATCTATGTTTTCCCCTCATTAGGAGCCCGAGGTTCGGGTTTGCATCTTAATGAGGATGCTGAGAGCGAGCGAGTGCGCAGAGGTCCGCGCGAGGGCATTTCCACGTGAGCGTCCGCCTCGGATGGAGCCTCCCCGCGCCCGCTCTGGCCGCTGGCCCCAACCGCGCTCTTCTCTTCATTTATTTATTCTCCTAAATAAAAACATAAATCGTGTACGACGCGCACTGGAAAGGGGAGGGGGGAGCAGGAAGAAGCCGGGCACAACAGATGCGAGCATCTGGCCGCAGCATTCATTAGACTCAAAATGGCTCCTCTTCGGAGCTTCCCTCTCCCCTCCCCCTTCTTTGCCCTCCCCCTTACGTCACGGGTGGGCGCACCCGCTTCCTACCAGTCCCGCCCCCTTCTCGCTCCGGTCCCCCACGTGGGAGACGCCGATCACGCCCCGAGCACGCATAGTGTCCAATCATCAGCCAAATAGAGACTCTTTCCACTGCTGATTGGTGGAGCTGCTTGGCGCTGTCAGTCCTGGAGCCGAGCTGTCAGTCAAAACCACGCGGGGTGGGGGAGCGCTGACAAATGCCGAGGCTTCTGAGCCTCCCGCTTGCAAATAGTGCTTGGAATGGCTGCTTAATTAGCTTTGAATGGCTTTTCCTTCCAGCTCAAACAATCTGTCACTACCATGTGGTATAAAGGAGCCATGCATAAAAAAGTAAGCAGAGGCTAAATATCAATTTGATTTTGTGTATCAAAGGAATATTTTATTTTTCTCCCTAGTAATGAAACGTATCAATTTAAATAATAAAAGGTAAAAACACACAAACTAAAAAAAAAAAAAACAAGAAAAAAAGAAAGACAAAATTTTTTAAATAAAGAAAAAAAAAGAAAAAATCAAAACCCAAACTCCACGGTGTTCCGACTCCTGCGCACGCCCGAAATAGGTAATTTCGATGGAGCACGTTCAGGAGGAAGTCTGAGACTCCTTTCCCCACCACCCCACTTTAAACTTGCTTTGAGTGTTTTGTTGTACTGGTTCTAAGTCTAGGCGCTGTGGGAGAGGGGTGGCCTGGAAAGGGGGAGGAGAGCCGGGGTTGAGAAGAAGGGCGAACTTTAAAGGGATCTCTTTGAAGCTGCTAATCAAAGTGCAGGGGTTTTAAGACCCCTTAAACTGGGGGTACTACAGCAGGTCTTGATTTGGGAGCCCGGAGGAGAGGGGGGAGAGAGCGGGTGTGCGTCTCGCCCAGATTTATTAAACACAATGCCTTCAAGATGCCCGGGACGCGGCGCCTCGCCGGGGCTCCCTTTCTCTGTCTCCCCCGGGACTGGCTCCGTCGGCGCCCGCCTGCTGGCGGCTTTGGAGGCCACGGTCTTCCAGGTCTACGCGGACTGTGTACAGAAAAGCACAGCAGCTCTGTCTCCGGTCTTTGGGTCTCCTGCCGAGACAGCGGTGCTCCCGGGGACCCCACGAGCCAGCGTGAGCGCCTATAAGGCAGACCCCACGTTGAGTTCGCCTGTTAGCCAAGCCGCCAGCGCCCGGCCTGGCACACTGGAGGATGCGTGTGATAGGTGAGATTTTTGCAGAGCGCAGCCCTCACGGCCAAGACGAGCTACAGAAGAACACCCCATCGTGAGAGTGAACAGCCCCGCTGGGGTACAAAGCAGGCCATGGCTACCCTCTCCGTCCTCACTTCACTCCCAAAGGAAGCGGACTGGCAGGTGGCCCGTTTCAAACAAAAGAAAAGGCCTAGTAATAGGCCCCGAACTGGACACGGAGGTCAGAACTGGAATCCAGGACAGCCGGATCCACAGCCAACCTCAGAAGAGCCATTGCTTGTGCAAACTGAATCCATATGAATGTTTGCTAAAAGACATACATTCACTATTCACCCACTCATTCATTCATTCCAGCCCTCTCTGTGAGTCTGGTCCCTCTAGCTCCATCACCTTCCCCAACCCTCCGGGGCTGCCTGAACCCCGACCACGAAAGCGGGGCAGGGTGATCAGTAAGCTGGTTCTTACCCCTTAAGCTCAAAGCTCATCACTGCTCATACTCACATACCCCACCCCACCCCCACCCTACAAATTGAGAAAAACAAGGAAAATATCCTTATTTTATGCTCCAGAAAGAGGAAAGAAAAAAATTTTAATACACACAACACCCTGTGTCCGAAGCGCTTGACAATTATTTTAAAGAAGGAGGGAAGTGGAGATAGAGTTCAAACGTCTCTGTCTCCAGTTCTAATTGGAAACGTTTCAACTGTTTATGTTACAAGAAGTGTCAGGGTCATTTGCTACCGGAGAGCTGACTTTTCATTGGCTGCTTAATTGAGTACCTCGGAGTCCACCCCACGTGGGAGAGGAATTCCTGGCACATTCAAAAAAAAAAAAAAAAATCACACGGCTTGATGGAAAGCCCGGCATGGATCTGCAATGTGGAGGCCTCCCCCAACCCCCAGCCCCTCATTTGGGGATTTGGGATGTAGGATTCGTGGGAACTTCTGCTGGCCAGAGACCTGCTTCTCTGGTTCCTTAAAAACAAATACGAACCACTTAGATGAGTGTTATATCTGGTTTTCTTCTTTTCTCAGGAATTAAAGGAACTGGCTCTGGCCAATCACCAAGCTGTGGCCTCTTCTTTGAGGAACTGATCACAGTGTCTTGGGTGGGGTTGTAAACCTGCCCCCAGACATCCCTTCCCCCTAGAGCTAATGGCTTTGATTTTTGAGAGGCCTCCTGTAAGAACCTGCCTTAAAAGAGTGTATTCTCCACCACCACCCATCTCCCTTTGCTGGACTCTGTGGTTCTGATCCTCTGATTTGTACTCATTACTAGAGTAGATCCCCAACCCCCTTCTGCCCCACCCTCCATCCACCAGTCACACAGATCTTCCTCCTCAAGCCAGCACTCCCAGAGCAGCAAGAGGAAGGGGAATTTGTATTTGTTTAACAAACTTAACATAGTGCTTACTCTGCACCAGATTCCATTCTAAGCACTGGGCAAATATTAACACATTGAATCCTCGGCCAAAGAATGAAGGCCGAGTCATTAGTATCGCTCCCATCATGCAGATGGGCAATTGATATTCAATGGTGCAATGACTTCCCCAAGGTCACTTCGGTGCTTGATGGACTTGAATCCAAACAATTCAACTCCAGAGTTCAGGGCTTAACTGCACTTGCCCTGCCAGTTAGGACTGCCAGATAAACTGCTGCTTGTGTCAGGAAAGACAGCTGAGGCTCTGAGGGAACACAGCCTTTCAAACCCTCTTCCAGCTCTCTGACTCAGTCAAGTTCTGTGACTTTGGGGCACTTATGGATGCTTCCTAAGCCTCCATTTCCTCATCTGTAAAGTGGAGATAACAATCCTGTCCATTTTGGAGGATTGCTTCCAGGATCGATGGAGATAATGCATGCGATGTGCTTAGTACAGCCCTGGCACATTAAGTGATCAATAATAGTTAGCCATGGTGGCCATGATGAGGATATGTAGCTGTGGGGCTTAGCTTCTGGTACATTTTCTGTGTGTCTGTAGAGGCATGAGAGGCCTTGTGGCTTAGGCAGAGGCAAGCAGTTCAGTCATCCTGACCTAGTCTACATATT